TATATTCGAACACATCAGAAGGATATTTTTTGCAAAGGAAAGTGCTGCAGTCTGGACGTCTTCTTTTCCCATTTTAGGAAACAACCACACAAATTTTCCTTTTTCCTATCCTTTCTCACAGTTTTGCGCCCTTAGAAAGGAATGCTTAAAAAAAGTAGATGATTTCAAAGACTGAACTTATAAATTGCACGAAATTAAATAATAGGAGTGTACTCGTACACCCAACTATCTAAAGTTTTAGAAAACTTTTACTGGTTTTGCGTTCTCGTACCCAAAAAACTTGCAAAGTAGGGAAAATTGAGAGAGCAAAATGTGAAAGAGAGCTGCAAATTTCTGCTGGAAAAAATTGTCCCAGCTAAAACTTGCAAGTAAGAAAATCAGCTGATCACAAACACATATTTGTAAATAAACAAAGGAAAATATGGCCTTTTTGAGTTGCAAATTTTATTATTAATGCTAGTATACAACGAAAAAGTGAGTAAATTAAATAAGCACAACGTTTGTTGAGGTTTGTTTACTTTAGTGTGTGCTGACTATGGTTGCCGGATGACATTTTTTGTTTGTACCATAATTTTCCTTTAAATATACCAAAATATTTTTAAATGCAACATGCTAAATGTTTTTTTTTTGCTGAAGTTTTCGGTTTTGGTAGGTTGATTGTTGAAATGAAAATTTTATAATTTTAAAGCTACATCTGTAGCTATATCTATTACATTTTTGGATCAATGATGGGTATTTGGAGGAGATACTCTTGTTTTTGAATGCGTCACCATGTGATATTACAAATAATTATGAGAAAAATAAGTAATTCATTCCTATGTAATTAATTTGTATTTTAAAAAGGTTTTTCTTATCCAAAACTATTCAATTGTTTAAAATGCCAAATCGGGGGAAAATGTACTAAGCAGAAAATAAATTGCCAAATTAATCACCAGTGGCAACTGTGCAAGTGATCAGCTGTTTCGAAGGTTGCAAGTTTTTGCAAATTTTGCGTTCTCGTACTTCTGTTGATATTTCGTCTCTTTGAGAGCGAATGCTGCTAAATTCTCAGAACTTTTGCTGCTGGAGAATTTGGCCCTCTCAATACGAGTACACACCTAATATTTCACTTGTTTTATTATAAAATATACTCCGGAGTCAGAGCACGATGTCCGCTTGTGAACTCCGGCCCGGGGAAAATAAACGTGCAAGAAATAGTTCCGATACTAGCAAGTCAATATTCTTGGGGGCTACTCTGTAATGCGATACGAAAGAGAAATGCGATGCGATAGGCAATCGCACAGCGTATTACTCACGGTGTATTTGCCTATCGCATCGCATTGCTATTTCGTATCGCATTACAGAGTAGCCCCCTTTATTAAGTCTCATCAGAAAATACCTTGACGCTTAAATAATAAAGGGAAAGCCGCATTATACTAAAGCCAGCTTCCTGACATAAGCTACTATTCCATACGAACACTGATTTGTACATGTTCAAATGTTTAGCTTTTCAACATGCGCCTCTATAATGTCAGCTTAATCTTTCCTTCAAACTTTCATCCAAGCTTGTAACTATGGCTTTTTGTATTATTTTATTACTTTAATAGTATCAAGAGCCCTCAGGAAACTTAGTCCCAGGAGAATACATCTAGTTAAAATAATAAAATTCTACAAAATTAAGCTTGAAGCACCAGCCTCTACAATTAGTGTAAGTATATAATGCACGAGCATAAAGCATGTAACACATAAATATGTGTTCAGTAGATCAATAGCAACCCTTGAAATCCATTATAAATCTTAAAATAACTATTTATGCATGACCAGGTCTCGCACACACAAAATTTTAAAATTTGTAACTCGTGCGCACCAACACACGATGTCTTAAGAAAGAGGTGCATCGGTGTCCAAGTGATAGCTACGCACTGGTGAAAACCACAAGGGCGGATACTTTGATGGTGTGAGGTCAAATTGTGATGAAGTCTCCACTTTGTTCCGCGTCTGTACAACCGAATATTGTGCCCACAATAGACGCGCATACTTCCGCTTTGTTGTATTCGTTATACGAAATTCAATGCAATATTTTGTGCAGTTTGGCTCTTCTTTGAATGTAGCCATGCTGCTGCGTCGATGGCGCGCATATTGATGTGAATTATTGCTATGCAATTGTTGTTGCTGTTTCTTTAGCAAGATAGTTATAGTATCGCCATAGAGGCGATAATGACCACATAACACTTCTGGGCGTAGCTGATTAATATTTTTGAGCTTATTCACGCCCTGTGCAGGCTCATCAGCACTAGTCATCATAAGCACACGTCCATCACCCAAAAATCGTACGTAGCGATAGTATTCGACAAGCTGCACAGGGCGATAGTATTGATCTTGGAAGCTGTTCTCGCCCATACGCAAGTATGTTGTTTTGCTTATGTAACAGCCACTAAAGATTACGCGTTCGCGCATAATGAACATTTGTCGCCAAGATGTGTACACCATAGGTGTAGTATCTACTGATTCAATTAAATCGTCTGCTTGTGTATGCTGTATTGGTTCGCCCAAGGTGCCTAGATCAGCTCCCCAAACTCTGGTAAAAACAAATAACTAAATGTAATAAAAAGGTGGAAGAAAAGTAAGTACAATGTCTTACTTTGTGCAAACCGATCGCCATAGTTCCTCGTCTCGCGCACACAAATACAATCCCTTGCAAACGCCGGCGCATTGCTCCAAAGAATGTATATCCAACTGCGTCGATACGACCCATCGCAGTATGTACAACAAAATTTCCGGTGGTAACTCCGAAATATGCGTCTCAGTGGTAATAACACTGGCATCCCGACTGCTAAGCAGTAAGTGGCCCCCGTCCCTGGCTAAATCTAATTGAAATTTCTCATATAAATCTTCGACTAGCTC